TTGGACATGTTTTGCAACTGCTCATAGATGCTCGAATGAAAGTCAATATTGACAAATCCGTGATTCTCCTCTCTGTCAATCACTCCTATGCCAACCGCTGGCGGCGTAGAGAAATTCTCTCTGACAAGGAGGGCCCACGACTGCGGATCTCGACACCCACGGCAGGCACCTTCAAGATGCCAATAGTGTCTACTCATAAATATCTGGGAGCCATTATCTCCTACCAGGAGGACTGTATGCAGCTTACGGTGGCATATCGATTGCGCCAAACATGGGCGACCTGGACCCGACTTCGACCAGCCCTTACCTCAGCCTCCGCACCTGCTCTCCCCTTGAGACTACGTCTCTGGCAGGCATGCATTCCTCCCACCGCTCTCTATGCGTTAGATAGCCTTCCGCTGCAACAGCAACACCTGGTACAGATCCAGAGAGCCTTAACAAAACAGCTGCGTGCTGTAGCCAAGTCCCAGGCACATCTGACAGGCGAATCCACAGTCGCTTTACATCATCGTCTCCGGGTTCCCTTTGTGTTAGATGCGCTGCGTCAGGCCTCTCACCGCCGAGCAGCCCGTTGGGCCGCCATCCCCCCTGAGGAAGCCCATCTTCTCAACCGCTCGTGGCAAACACGCATTGATGAAGCCCTCCAGAAGCTCGACTTCCCCCTCCAGCCGCTATTGGACGCCCCCACGGCTTCCTCGGTAAGCCCTGCCCTGCAGGACAAACCTTCAACCACAGGAGCCGCGGAATCGGGTATGCACGAAGAAGGATGGTCATGTCCCCACTGCTCTTATCAAGCGCCATCACATAGACTTCTTCGGGTACATCTCTCCCGAACCCATGCAAGTAAGGCCAAAGATCGGGAGCGTCCAGGCCGCTTCAACCGCGACCAACACTCAGTTAGTGGGATGCCGACCTGTCGTCTCTGCGGGCACCGCTTCTCTCGTTGGAGTGGCCTTCGCTGCCATATAGACAAGGGACACTGCAGATGCCTGTCCTTCTCAGCCTTGCCAGAGCCTGAGCCCACTACTACTGTGCCTCCGAACACTGCGACCCACCCATTGCTGCCTCATCCATCTACTGGCATTGTCCCTGTGCACACGGAGGCCGGCACCACCTCAGCTACTACGTCTACGCCAGGCCTGGAACCGCCCCTCTTGGAGCAGTGCCTTGCTGCGCACCCTAGCCCGGACCTGGATCTCTCTTCTGCTCCTTCGGGAGCGCTTGCAGCTGATGCCACCACTGCGGCTGCAGAGGACACGTCGTCAATTCGACCTCTGCCTGTCTCGCAGTCGCTGGCTTATACCCCGGCCTTTCAAACCCAGCTGAGAAGTCACGGATGGCAGGCGCTGCTCTCGAGGCCAGATCTCCGGAGCTCACTGAAGCACCACTGCCCGCTGTGCTCTCAGTGGGCTGCCTCTCCCTCGGGCCTCAAAGTGCATTTGCAGCAGTCGCACCCGGAATGGACCCGGCTGCACAGGCGAAGGCTCAAGTTCTACGCCGCAGTCTGTGTAAACCATGTCTATACTGCCAGGAATCCCGCATTGATCTTCAACATCACTGGAAGCAGTGTTACATGATCACTCTACTCAGCTTCTTAGAGTGTTGGCTGGACGACACCCTCCCTGCTATAGCCTCCACTGCACTGGACCAACCGGCTCACTCACTCCCTCCTGTCCATGTCAGTGGAGGATCAACGCGAGTTGGGCCTCTTCCAGAACTTCATGACACCGCCGGCGGGAATGGACGCGGCTCAACTCAAGCGCCGCCGGGGGGAGGAGCCGGAGGCACAACAAGCCCTGTTCCTGAACCACTCGTCCGGCTCTCAGGCCTCGGCGTCGACCAGCACGAGCTCAGAACCCAAGGGCAAAGGGAAGGGCAAGCAGCCCAAGGGCAAAGGACGGGGCAAGGGGGGCAAATCACGCCCATGCCCAGCAGTCGTGGAACGATCAATGGAGCTCGGACCAGTCTTGGTCCAGCGGCCACTCCTGGACTTCCTCCGGCGACCTGACCGATCAAATGGCCCGTCTCCTTCTCCGCCACGAGCAGCAGCTGCAGAGCATCCAACAGGACTGCAAGCTGCATCTCTATCTCCGCAGTGGGAAGGAATCCTTTCTTCCCAATCTATGCGAGATTGCCAAGGAATGGAGCCGCCTTCGTCGCGACGAACCGGGGAAGATCAACAGTCCGCTGCGCACTCTCCTCCTCCGTGCTACCTTGCAGGAGATGGAGACCCGGATCAAGCTCACCATCAGCAAGGAGAAGCAGACGGCCATCGACATGCAGTGGTACAAGGAGGAGGAGGGCTGGACTTACATGCAGTGGAACGCACAAAAAGGACAGCTCGAACTTCAAGCTACTCCGAGTCCACTTGCCACCGAGACCCTCCTCGAACTCCTCCGAGAGCTTCGCACCCTTGTGAATCCAGACTCTGTGAAGAAATTCGCGTCACTTCGCGGACTTCCACAGGAACCCCAGTCCGAATGGATACACTTTCAGCTGGAGCTGGGGTTTCGGCCACAGGGGGACCGCATGTGGGAAATCTTTCAGATGCTGCTCAACCAGAGTTGCCTCCACCCTCTCGGAGCGCGCCTGCGGAAGGACCGTCCCGGCCTGTCAGGCCTTGCGGCCCAAATCCAACAGGCAGTAGGAGGTTGGTGAAACCAACCACTCCATTGGCCTCGACCTCAGCCTCTCCAGGCATACGTCGTTTTCTCAGAGTGTCCAGGGATCTGCCCTTAGATACTGCCCTCTCCTCGCCTTCATTTGTGCCTTCGGAAGTCCCCTTGCACTTTCAGCCATTGCTTCATGCAGCCCTCCACAATGCAGATGGCACTGCATGCTACATGAACACAGCTTTTATTGCCCTGCTGTGGGCACTTGGCAGCTATGATCCCGCTAGATCTGGTTCATTGTGCAGCTTGTATCAGTGCCTGACTGCGAGGTCGGACCTTCGATTGATGCGCAACATGTGTTGGACCATGTTGCTGGGGAACTGGGCAAGGCCCAATCAACAGCATGACATGCACGAATTTTTGCTCCACCTTATGCCGAGAGTCCGATTGGAGGCCTTCAGCGGTCTGTGGCAAACTCGCAGATTGGAAGACACAGGCACCGTGGTCTGTGCATCCTCCAGTGCATTGCTTCCGGTCACTGTTGACCTGCCTCTGGAGGCACGGGGGCTTCAGCATTGCGTTCAAGAGTGGTTTGCCCGGCATTATCATACCGCCTTCGACGGAACCATGCCTCATCTCCTATGCCTCCACCTGTCGCGCTACAGGCGTGATGATGAAAGGGGCATTCTCAGCAAGGATGATCAGGCCCTCCCGGACTGGTCTGAAGTGCTTCGCATTCCGCAATTTGCGACGTCACATGACCTTCAGAAGCACTGGAGACCCTATCAGGTGTGTGCCATGGCTCTCCACTACGGTCCTGCCTTGCATCAGGGGCATTACCGCTGTATGACGCGATGGGGTCAAAATCCAGTGCGAGTCTGGTTGCATGACGACAATCGTGCAGCTGAGCCCCTCTCTCTTCCTGACTCTGTTGAGCTCAGTCGCAAAGCCTATCTGATATGGGCGGTACGGATGGACTGAGGCCTTCACCTGCCATTGCGAGCACGCTTCGAATGACGACATAGTTGTACAAAGCACGCGTACTGTCATTCGTGACTACGTGTGACTTGAGGGGGCACAAAACGTGCGCGCCCACAGAGGCGCCGGAATCTCTTGAGATTCTGCCTTAGCTAGCTAGGCGACGACTCGTTCGCTGCGTCCTGAAGAAGATGCATCCATACATGCATCCATCCATTCATCCATCCACCCAGCCAGCCATCCATCCACATTTCTTCATTTTTGTTGCACAATTTCCTGCATACATGCATGCATGCCTCTCCGCACCTACATGAGTTCTACGCATGCACACATGAGTACATGATCGTATGCAAGCATGAGGCCGATTGTGCAAGTAAGTATGTAGGCATGTAGGCAGGCACCACACATCAAGTTATAGTTGCACCACTGATTCTGTGAAGCTCTGGGATTGGAAATCCTTCAGGTTCAGTTCTGTGGAGATCTCGTTCTCCATGGGGGCAGCAGGTGCCCTGGCTTTCGGGCATGTCGTGGGCTGCACGTGTTCGCCGATCGAAACGGTGTTTTCGTTTCAGGCGCGCGGGCTTTTGCTGTTTCATTTCAGGCTTCGCTGTCAAAGGGCATATTCCTTTCTCTTCCTATCCAGGCATCGTCGAATCGCCAGCGTGGTATTCAAAGCTGCGGCATTTGCACACCCTAGTCTAGAGTCTCACTCACAGCCGGGCTGGTCCTTGGATTCTTTGAGGCTAGATCATGCTTGGTGTTCAAAGCTTCAGGTACAACAAGAGACTGCAGCCTGTCACATGAAGGGACCTGGAAGGCCACCAACGCATCCTTGCGCTTACTACAGATTTGTTTCGGGATTCTTTTCAACTTGATGCTGAATTCACTTGCACTGTTTTTGCCCCTAGCTTCGGGGTGGTACATGCGCACACACACACACACACAAAACACGGTTAACGGCTCACCACCTCACGTCAAGATCGTGTTCATCCGTTGCAACGAATCGTAGAACCAGCTCGAGGGACTTTCGGCTGTCTTCATAGCGCCACGGCCTACTTCAGCCCCTGTGCATGCTGCATCTATCAGGCGGTTTGTTGATGCTGAGAAGCAGCTGACGCGTCATGTCCTCAGTACAAGTGTAATGGAGAGCCGGTTGCCTACTGCCATCTACAAGTCCATGGCGTGTTCGGCCTCATGCGGGCAAGAGAAGTTTTCGAGGAGCGAGTGATAACAGTTCTCGCTCAGTCTCAGTGTCTTGTCCAAAGCCGCTTTCAGCTCAACTTATCGTGCAATCCGGACCCGCACCCGTCGGGAAGGCGGGCGGGGAACACCTGCCTCCCTGCATCAAACATCCAGTCACCTCCCATTTTCTGATGCAGGCTTTGGACCTTTCGTTGAGGCGTTGAGGCGATGAAGCTCGAGCACATGCTGGCGTGGGCCACAGCCGAGGACAGAGGTCTGTCGTTTACCACAAACAGTTTACCGGTGTCAACGAAATTCGCAAAAAATCAACTCCACCGAGCTGCAGCCAAACTGTCAAATGCTGAGAAGCTTTTTTTCAACACCTATTTATTCCTACTATTCTAAAATCAAAATCCAAGGTCTTTTCTCTGTTCGTGGGCGCCTTGGGCCATGGTGCCCTGACCAAGCCACTGCCCCGCCTGGTGTCAGGCAGGGGCCTCAGAGCGCGCGGGTGACGTGTCTTCCATTTCATGGCTGCTGGTAATGGTACCCTGGACATCTTCGCGGTTTCCTTTAGCCGCTCAGCGGCTCGACCTTTGTGTTGAAGCCTGTGTCGGTAGGAGAGGCAGATGAAGTCCTGGGCATGCAGGGGGTTGGGTTTATCTGGCAACATAGCGATGCTTTTCGGAGTCTTTGTCCGAGAATGGAGGCAGGTGAGGGAGCTACGGAACATGTAGATAGTCTCGCGAACTTGTGTCAGCCCAAGGCACCTTCTTTCCATAGCGTTTAGTCAGACTTAACAATCTTCAGGAAAGTCTTCAAAGGACCGAAGGAAAGCATAGATGGATGCATGAGGTCAGCAGTACTGCCCCTGGTGTGTGGGCGAACACCAGCCGGCCGGGTCCCCAGAGAGCTCTGCATTCCTTACCTTAATGTTAGGACACGGGTTCTCATCAGGGTCTAACGCAACAGATGTGCTTGGGTGCAGGGTCCTCACCAGTGTGTTTTCACGTGAGGTCACGAATCCGTCCGGCGTGGTCAACATAGATGCAGAGCCGACCTCACCCTGCCTTGGCTCTCAAATAGGCCGAGCAAGCTTTGAGATGCCCGCTTCTTTCTTGGTAACGGCCTTTCTGCAGGTGATGCCCCCTATCCTGCCAGCAACTATAACAGCCGCCTGATTGCATGCGATGGAGAGACCCTAGAACTAGAACGTTTCGACGCCTCCCCAGAAGCCAGACCAAGACGAGCGAGTGCAGTCGTCGGTGGCTCTCGACAACTAAGACTATCGAGTTGCTACTGCTCCAGCCGAGCCTTCCTACACGGCCGGTGGCAAACTGGAAGCAAACGTTGTGCCGTGAGCTTACTCTGGAAGTCGTTTTTTCTAAAAACTGTCACGCCATGGTCCAAAAAGAAAGCCGTTGTCAGGCTGGATGCTGATCACAATGGACTTGCCATCTTCGACTACTGCCCACACTCCGAAGCCCAGACAGACCTCGGCTCAGTCGCCTCAACGTGGACACCGAAGTTCTCACGTCCAGTTCTCGTACGCAAGCTCTTAAAGCCCCAAGAGCTGAGCCGGCTAAAGCTTAGGCACCTTAACTTCGGCCCGAAGACCCTAAGCAGCCCTGTGACCGAGGAGGACTGCTTCAGGTCCCGGCAGATCAACGACTGGACTGATGTCCATGCGTACTGGGATGCCTCGAATCAGCCAGGGCGGCTGCAAGGAGTCGGTTTGGGGTTTCAGCCGGTCACATCATGGGATCTGTTAGGGACCAGCAGTTTGTAGGGGCGTATGAACGACTGGCTGACTGATTTTTCAGAGCTTGATATATCAGTATATGTCCAACACGCATCATACAAACGAAAGTTAGCAAAAAGATAAGCAGTCTGTCTCTATTTGAGGTATACCTGTTCATATGCACATTTTGACACGCACGCATATGCACATGCACGTACACCTTTACATCTACACGTGCATAGATACATGTCGACATATATATGTATACATACATGCATACAGACAGACATACATGCATGCATACATGCATGCATACATACATACATTCATACACAGACAGACCGGCAGACAGACAGACAGACAGGCAGACAGGCAGACAGGAAGACAGTCAGACAGGCAGACAGGCGGACAGGCGGACGGACGGACTTATGGACGGACGGATAGACAAACAGACGGACATACATACCTACGTTCGCGCGAAACAATGTGCGTTCAAAAATGTGTCAAGCCATGATCCTCTTTCTACATACACTGGATGACATATACATGTACCACAGCAAAGCCATGTGTGTGTACATATATATATATATATATATATATGTATATATATATACATATATATATCTGAATGTATGTATATTCAGATTCATGCAGATACACTTGTACATATGATATGTTATGCATTTACGTGCACGCATATGTACACATACATATGTATATGTAGTACCCCCCCACAAAAAATCCCACACCTCAGATTTGTAGAAGCGCAAACTCACAGATTCGCAGGTTCGCAGATTCGCAGATTCACACGTCGGACAAATGCCAGATCATAGGGTCTGTGAAATTTGCGAATCTACGAATCTGCGAATCTGTGCGAACCTGTGAAACATCGTGTGACATCAAGGTTTCTGTTGTTTTCCAAACACAGAGGCAGAGAATCATCGCATGTGGTTTTAGAGAGACCTCGATAGCAAAACCGGATAATGGCATCACTCCGTAAACGGTTCTTTTGGCAAATTGCTTTTTTCACGTGGTTAACCAGTTTACATAATTGGATTACTAGGTAAGTATGACATTTTAAAAGGCGTTCTGCTTATGTTCGTTCTCAATAGTCAGGTAGCAGACTAGTTAAATTTAGGCCGTTCATCAATCCAATTCATGTAGGAACTAGGTTCTCCAATTTGCACACGGGTCCATTTAAATGCATGTCTCTTGAATTCTCTGTTTATGTCATCAGCGTCATGTACACAACACACGAGCCGGTTTGGATACAAAGTGTTCCTTATGGCATGGTCATCGGACGCCGCCAACTGGGGTACCGGGAGGAAGTCAAGCCGGAGGAGCAGACCCGGTCTTGGCGCGTCCCCGGTGTACCTATGCACTGGGGAGAACAAGCCGTGAAGGAGGTGCTCGCAGGGGCTGGGCTCACTGCGATAGCCCTGACCTCGCGAATGGTGCGGAAGGGCAAGGCTACTTGGTTCCTACGTGCCAGGGGCACGGAGGAGATCACGCAAGTGCCGGTCACGGAAGGCGCTGACAGGCTTGACTTGTTTGTCTTACCGGCTCAGGTCGCTAGGCGCCAGATTGGACAGAGGACCCCGCTTAAGCCTGAACGGGCACAGATGTTCACCCGTGAGAAGTTCATCATCCAGGTGGGTTCGTCACAGACCGCCGCCATGGAGACTGACGGCGACGGCAAGGAGACTCCCGTGGGAAAGCGGTGCATGACCGAGGTCAGGGCTGTTCCTGAGGGAGTAAAGCTGGAGACCAAAGCGCGGGACGGCAATTGCTTGTGCCACTGCCTTGGGGATGGCCTGACCTTCTTGAAGGGTGACAAGAAGAAGCGACCGGCGAGCCTCGTGCGCGCCGACTTGCACGACTACATGAAGCGCAAGGCCACTGAGTTTGCGGGCTGGTGGGATGGCCGGGACACCAAGGACCAGCCTGACACGCTGCAGACCTTTGCGGCGTACCTAGATGAGATGATTGGCGAGGGGCGGTACTTGCGACTATTGGAGTTGGCAGCTGCTGCGAGGGCTTTCGACCTCTCCATCGTGGTGGTGCCAGTTGCAGCTTCGGACCCCCCGACACGCCACGGAGAGGGTTCGCGCACGCTGGCGTTATGGTACCATGGTGACCATTATGACCTGCTCCTTCCAGAGGACACGACCAAGGACTACCCGGCGGTGATCACTTTGGCGACAAATCTGGAGGACGGGGCGGTGGGGGACACGGTGGGGACTCGGACGCTGAGACCGAGGCCATTACTGTGTACACTGAGGCGACCGCTGGTGGGTTGCGGCCAAGGCGCCCTGGCAAGCGGAAGACTTCGCAGGATGTGGCTGCGGAGGGTGATGATGATGCCTTCACCGTCTATTCGCGCAGGGCTGCTGATCACCTCAGGCCGCGGTCTGAGGGGAGCCATGCACCCCAGAAGGCCGGGGCGCCTTCCCAAGCGTCCGGGGCAAGTGCTGCCAAGGTGGGCAAATCATCCAGCAGTGCTGTGGGCACTGAGGTTAGCAAGGTCACTCTCTTCACCATGTGGGGCGGCCGCCATGTTGTCAGGGAGCCTGTGATTGCCGAGAAGGCCAGTGTTTGTGGCTGTTCCTAGTGGCGCCGGGACGTCGCTGCCGGGTCTGGCCCGTGACGCCGCGCCCGTCCACAGTCAGATGGATGACGAGGTGGCCAGTCAGGATCTGCAGCATGTGGACCCGCCTACATAAGGTTTTTGACACCTCGCGGGAACGCGTGAAGTGCACCAGATAGCATTGCAAGTTCTGTGGGTATGCCACGCGGTCAGGGCTCACAAATCCTCAGGTTGAGTATTATCGCCATAGCCACTTGCAGAAGTGGCATCCGGACAAGAAGGCTCAATGGGCGTGCTTCAAGCGGTGGAAGTTCGCTGCTGTTCTCAATGCTCGTGATCGCTGCGAGGGTCGGCAACAGGTGCTGTGGCAGTGCAAGCACTGCTCTGCAGGGATCCTGAACATCAAGCTCCCAGGGCGCGGGCAGCGACAGGCTGTCTACATTGCGGCGCTGAGCATGGCAAGGTGGCTCACCCAGGTGTGCCGAAGGCGTGGCGGAAGGGCCCCAGTGACAAGGGCAATTACACCAAGGCCACGGTTGTGCGCAAGGCAGCTGGAGTTGCCGGACACATCATGCGGCGCAAAGCTGGCAGCTATGGCGCCCACGACGTTGCGCTCCACCGGATTCGCCACCTGGGTGCACGGGGCAAGAAGCCGCGGAAGACGGCAGTGGCTTACATCTGCAGGCGCTGCGCGGCGTACGGGGCCTCGCCGGCAAAGTAAACAGCTATACCCCTGCCACTGGCCTTATTCCTGTAGGCCGCGCCCGCATGCTAAGCTTCATTGACAAGTTGTGCCAATCGCTTGAGGATGAGCACCCGGCGGATCTCACGGACGGGGTTAGGGCCGTGCTTCACGTCATCGATGAGGTTAAGGCGAGGCTTCAGCAGGACAGGGACAAGCTCGCTGAGGAGCACGGGGCGAAGACGCATCAGTTGAAGGCTGTGGCGTGGCCGTTCCATCAAGGTGACGACATCAACTTTCGGGTTCGGTTTCTGTGCGTGCGCTGCCACTTCCATGCGATCAAGCGCCACTCTTTCCGGGATGTTGAGTGTGGCACCCTGGGCAAGCGCCGACGCTTCGCGCAGGAGGAGCGTTTGTTAGCCATGACTTGAATCGAGGACCCGGTGGGCTCAGCTGCCAGGCTTATTTTAGACTACATGGGCGTTGCTGTGCATGCCAAATCAGGTGGAGCCTAGCACATCGCGATGACCGCGGCCGCGGACCATGTGCTGCGAATTGGGATGCTTAATGTGAGAGCTTTGGCAGGGAAGGCGAGCACGGTTCTTGATATGGCTCAGGAACACCGTTTGGACATCCTGCTCCTCCAGGAATCGCGCTTGCCTAGGGACAGCTATGGGGCTCTGGACCGTTGTGCCGTAAGCAGGGTTGGAGTTTGCACATTCACGACCAAGCGGATCAATCAGGTGGTGGCGTCAAGTGGGGCGCAATCAGCCTGGCAAGGTGGCCGGTTGAATCCGTCGCAGCGCCGGCGTGCCCGCCGAGTGGGCGAGGCGGCATTCTTCGTGTGTGGCGCCCGGGTCAGCGCCCACTCATGCTTGTCAATCTTTATCTCCCAGCAGCTTCGAGGAGGGAGGCCGGTGACATCCTTTCAGGCCTCCTTGAGTTTGCAGCCGGGACGGGTGAAGATGTGACTTTGGCGGGGGGTTTTAACTTGACTGAAGACATGTGGCCGATTTCCATGGCGAGGGTTACGGGACGCTGGCAGACGGCGAATGAGCAGCTGCTGGGTGACACCCATAAGCCCCGGACGCATCGCCGTGAGGACGGCTCCTACACAAGGTGCATTGCCTTCGCGATGAGCACATCGAATGTACTCTTCACCCGTCGGGGCCAACACGTTGGACCTGCAGACCACGATTTGGTGCATTACGACATTCGGCTGTGTCATGGACGGGAGCAGGCTGTGGGGTTTCCGCTTAGGTCTCGACTTCGTCAGGAACCTGTCTCTGTTGATCAGTGGCAACAGGCCTGGGAGGATTCTGGTGTCGCCTTTGAGGCCGCCTGTGCCCAAGGCCGCGTGGACCATGCGTGGCAGCTGTTGAGTGGAGCGGCTGAGGCTGCTCTTGCCGTTGCGGGGGTGTACCTCGCAGCCAGGCGGCTGTTCCTTGTGTTATGTCGCCTACCTCCCAAAAGGCCCCGACTCATCAAAGCATTCGTGAGCGTCAGCTGAGAAGGATCGCGAGGAGAGCCAGGGAATTTCTTTCGGAGCGTGGCAGCATCGAGGAGCGCCAGCGGCTCTACTTCAAAGTGGTCCAGGCGGCTCGGCGCTTCAACATCGTCGTTGAGGGCGTCGAGGACATCATTCTGGAGGCCGACCGCATGGCTGCCGAGCAGGCGGACATGACATCACAGGGCCGGCGTGAGCGCTGGCTGGCGCAAGTTCAGTGGGATATGGGCAAGGCGGCAAAGTGGGTCACCCGAGCCACACCCGCGTTGCCACAGGCTTGTGAGGGTAGGGACTGGACTCGCCCATTATCCCCAGGCGAGAAGCTCAAGGCGGCTCGTGCTGTATGGGAGGCGCAGTGGGCAAGCGAGGGTGCCGTGCCGAATCAGCCGACCATGGGCTTCATTGCTCGGTTCATCCCCGCCGCCCCCGAGGAGCCCGCTCATGTGCTGCATCTTACTCCTGTAGAGGTTCGCAAGATCGTGCAGAAGAGTAGCCGAAAGGCCACTGGCATGGATGGTTGGGCGGCTGAATCGTTAGCTTTGCTTCCCGACGACTTCTATGAGGAGCTCACAACTTTGTGGAGGGTCATGTTGTCCGCTGGCATTGTCCCGACCGCTTGGAGGGATGTGAGGATTGCTTTAGTTCCTAAGGACGATGGTGGCATTAGGCCGTTGGCGATTGCTTCTGTTCTTTGGAGAGCCCTGGGCACTGCTGCTTGTCGTAGGCTTATACCGTGGATTGCAAGCTGGGCGCCGACGGAGCTCCAGGGCGGCCTTCAAGGTCGCGGTGTGCATGGCGTCCACGATGTACTGCTGGCGGACCTGGAGCAAGCAGCCAGTGGGCGAGGCGAGGTCGCGGGGAACAAGACGGACCTCAAGCGCTTCTTTGACAACATTCGACCGGGTCAGGCGCTGGACACTTGTGCGTGGTTGAGCATGCCGGCGACGCTGGTGGCATCGGCGTACTACCGCGAGCAGCGGCGCTTCTTGGCGGTTCAGGGCCACATGCGCGCGCGCGCGCGCGGGTGTGTGTGTGTGTGTGTGTGTCCATCCCTGTTTCGAAGGGTAGGTCAATATGACTCGATTGAGCAGGGGGGCAAGGGCTCCAGTGATCAGCCTTGCCCAACGAAGCCAAATCACTGGAGTGGATGCAGTGGCTGATCACCACTGTGTACCTGCTTTCGGATTAGCCAGTGGGCCCCCTGAGGCACTGGAGTAACCAACACTAGAGGGACAGCTTCACGTTTGCCACTGTCGAGTTTCCTGCATAGTTGCTAGGGCTTGCTTCGAGTTGCTGCTTTTCCTGACAGTTTGCATCGACAAATCAGACCTGCGACACGATGTGTCAAGTGTGCTTCACAACGGCATTCCCTATGGGCGCCGTGTCTCCCAGAGGTAGCTCTGGTGTTGACTTTCCCGATTGACTGTATAAGCATTGGATGACTTTCCCTGATTCTATATCCGTGCTTGCAAGCTGACTTTCTCAGTGAGTCTTTACCAAATGCCTGTACCGAAACCTGAATGCTGACTTTCCCACTGACTTTCTATGATCTGATCGACTTTCCCGAATCTGACTTTTCCGCTGACTTGTCGCAGGTCTTCGGCTACAAATTGAGTACATGAGCTGTACTTTTGGGTAGTTGCTGATCAGTTTGCCATGGATGCTTCAGGAAAGAGACGCAGTACCCGCACATCAACCCCCCCCCTCCTCCCCCACCTCTCCCTCCACCCTCCTCCTCCCCCCTTCCCCCTCCCCTCCCCGCTTCTGCCCCTCCCCCCTCCCGTGGTACCACGGCGAAGTGGATTCCACCCCCCCCTCCCCTTCCCCCTCCCGCCTTCCCTCCCCCACCCCCCACTCTTGCAGTTTGCCCGGCGCCTGCTTCATCTTCTTCTTTGCCGGCCCCTTCTGCATCCAATGTTGGTTTGGGAACAGCAGATGTAACTCCTACCTTGATTGCTGCACGTGCTGTAAATGATCGGCCTGTTCCACAGCAAGAGGTTCCACCAGCAATCACTCTTCATGCAGATGGCGCGGGTTTCCGGTTGTCGTTTCGTTCGGCGGCTGATTTTGCTGAATACTCAGCGATCATGTCGGCAAACTTGACACATGTCCGAGGCCACAGAGATGTGTATGCTGGCCTTAACAATTTGCTCGACATTCAGCAGTCTGTTGTTTCTCAACAGAATCAGTCAACAGCATCTGGTCAGAGCCAGCAGTCAGCCCTCACGTATCAAACGGATGACTCATCCCAGCCATCAAAGCGACTTCGGCAAGTTCATGGAAGCGGAGTTTCTCTCGTTGCAGATCCTAACAGCATTCGACTTCGTGCAATTTGTGATCAGATTCCTGGTACTCATGCAGATCGTGTAGGGTGGCAGCTCAGTGCGGACCAGACTTACGTCTTTCGAGTTAAACCCTTGCAAGACTCGTATGAGCATTTTGAGAATCGATCTCTTCTCAAAGGGCATGTGGAAGTTGAGTGGGAGCAAGATTCAAACTTCTTCGTGATTCCTGAACTTCGTGGGTTGGAAGTGCGCGATGAAGAAGCGAAGCTGATACGTGTGTACTCAGCTAGCTTCAATTGGGTCGCATTATACCCCATGTTTACTGCTCTACGTCACTTGATCAGTTCCAGCCCTGGCCGTATGAAATCGGCATGTGAGATTTCGAGAAAGATACAGGCCAATCTTGAGTTGCAGGTTCCCAGCTCTTTGATGCAAAGCACTGCGGACTATCTGATCAGCCTGTTAGGTCTTCCTGCCCATTCTGTCAATTCGACGGCATTGAAGTATGTCTCTCAGGCAATTGCAGCAGCTGACCAAGCTGCAAACATTCACTCTGTGGAGCTTCGTTCTTTGTCGAGTTCGTGCAAGTGCTTGAGCATCCACTTCACCCACTTTGAGAGGACCATGATCAGGTCGCATACTTCTGCAGCAGGGATTGCTCGTTCGCCTGTTGCACACAACACAACAGTGGCAGCGGCTGCATCTATCCTCCTTGAGGGAACGATCCGACCATCGTATTGGGATGCTAGTGACAGCAAGTGGTCCCCACCAATTTCCTTCTATGCTAGGGCTCACACTTCAGATGCAGAACAAGCACAAGAGGCAGCGTCCAAGTACGGTGGCATTCTGAGTGAGCGTCCGGTGTGCATTTTCGGATCTGCATTTAATCGTCAAGGGTCCCTCACGCCTCCCCACTCAAGGATCCCCATGGGAGGAGTTGAAGGTGACCATTCCTGCAGTTACATTCGTGACGTTGCCCGTGTCAAAGATGGCAGATGGGTCTTTCGTTCTTCATGTTTCATCCCGGAAGCGCTTCTTGTCTTTTGGAGGGTCTGAGTGCAGCATGCTGCTTTGACCAGCCACGTTCTCAAGTCTCTTCCGTTGTCAACTACTTTGCACGCATACATGTGTCGAAAACATGCCAGTTAAGATTGCGAGATGTGCCAGCAAGAGATGTGCAGGTGTGTTGCAAGTGATGTGCAAGTGTTCTGCAAGTGAAGTGTCAGCGGTAGTGCAAGGGTGTGCGTCGGAAGTGCAAGAGAGGAGCAAGTGTGGTGCAAGAGTTGTGCAAGCGATGTGCAAGTGTTGCAGTTTGGGAACAACTTGAGCAGGTTTGTTCAACTACGGAGCCTTTTGATTCGAAGTGTCTTTAGCGATCCCGTGCACTTAGCTTTGTCGATAGTTCTGAAACCATGGCATGGAATGGACAGTGGGACACCAACACAGGGTACGGGAGGTCCCAACAATCGTGGGGTCAGCGTCGCTATCAGCCGTATAGCTCGGGAAGTTGGACCGATCCCAACCTCTCCAATTCTGCCCCTGCTAGTCAGCCACCTCCCTTACCTCCGCCTCCACTCTCTTCGGCACCTTCATCATCGCCGTCTACTCCCATGCCACTTCATCAAGGTCCTGGTCTTGC